ACCTCTCATCCATTTCCCTTTCCAACATAACCTGAGACAATGAATCTTCCATTTTCATTCGATTTCTGAAAAAATTACACAGATCAAACCGAGAGAGAGAGAGAGAAAGAGAGAGAGAGAGAGAGAGAGAGAGAGAGAGAGAGAGAGAGAGAGAGAGAGAGAGAGAGAGAGAGAGTACCTGGGTGAGAGCAGTAATGATACTCTTTACTTCAACCTTTCTTCGCAAATCACCAGGTCACGAGGAAGAGACAAAGATTTCAGGATTGGAGATTACAAAGACTAACCACGCAAAACACTGACTTGAGTAAATAGAACTCCCACTATGGAAGTTTATCTCTAACATGAACAATCAAGACACCTAAGGCATCACAAAGAACAAACAATGCGCTGATAGTGCATAGCTAGACCACACACCCCGTTTGACTAATTGAATGGGAAATCTGGTTTACTATTCTAATCGGGTCGTAATCGAGTCATTTAGGTTTACTTAGGTTTGTAATTGGTTTACTTTTAAAACAAAGAACATTAAACCTAATTTAAACCGGTTTTTGTTGGTATTAGTTCGTCTGGGGGGAGTCGAGTCTCGATCTTTTGTTCTGGGGAAATAGGTTTACAAACTTTAATTGTGTGCGATTGGGACGAGGTGAAAAGTTCGTGTGGATCTTTTCCTATACAATAATTATGGTGGGGAAATATGTCGTTTACCCCAAGAAAAGCTCATACACAAGCTGCAAGTGAAGCCATGCAAGATCCATGGAAGGCTCATCCTCCTCAAGGTAAGCGTCAATAACTTTATTTTCGTGTTGTGAGGATTTAGTGTTCTGAAATGTTAGCAGAGGCCATCCGCGCGACCTCTTGAACACTCCCTTCACTGAACTTTCCATTGGAGGAACTCACATAGTCCACAAGCTCAAGCAATGTATGCCTCTTGATCTCTTTTCTCATTGGTGTTCTATGTAGGATCCGTGAAGTTAAACATTGCTAAAATTTATTTATTTAGCTGGGATAGTTTCATGGATCACCTAAATTTACTATCCTTGATGTTCTATAGGATCCGTGAAGTCAAGAGAAGAATGGCCACCGTGTTCACGTCCACGATGATGTTCGTTCTTTGAAGACTTTTTGTAGAGAAGCTTACTTAAAATCTGTTTCCACATAGTTATTTAATCCTCAACACCACAACTCAGATTCTCTCCATAAGCAATAAACAACATGAAAGGTTTGAATCTAAGATCAAGGTTACAACTTCATAAATAGAACAAACTTAAAAATCGAGAAAATTATTTTCTGATTTCTTCTTGAATCACACCCTTTTTGCATAGTTCCTAAACAACCAGACTCCACCTCATTTTCCAGTTTGTAAATGATTTATTTGCCGCAAAAAACAAGACCAGAGAACATTGTAACTATAACTGTACAACTCATGAGAAAAAACAAATGAAAACAACCAACACATACCATATAGTGAGATCCAAGTAGATTGTGGACCCAAACATTTGGTTTATATCGTGTAACATGTGTCCACAAGAAAAGGTTCTGAGACCCCTCAACAGTCATACTATTCCTGAAATTAAATGTGAAAGCCTACCAACCTTGAACTTTCTACTCGATAAAGTTGTAATGACTTTACAAACTTTTCTGTTATAAAACTCAACCAAATATGAAAACCTCAAAAGAAACATGGGGATCCAATTCAATATTCCAAAACTTTGAAGACAGAATCGTAAAGTCAATGCATGAAGAGAAATCAATACTCCAGGTAGATTTGTTTCCCCTCTCTCGTGATCCTTTCCCCAATATAACCTTGAAAGTGTATGAGAAAAAACTGCTTGGAAGTCTTTGATGGTTAGATCCCATAAACCCTAAAAAATTCCTTAAAATCGTTCATCCATCTCAAAACCTACCGTATAGGTCTGGGTATTTTACCCGGACCCGAAGACCCGACCCGAAACCGAACCGATCATTTTACCCTATTGGGTCTTGATGTGGAGGACCCGCGGGTCTTGGACCCGAATCGGCCCGAACCCAAGACCCGATGGGTACCCGAAATATCCAAAACTTCTAGTATATATTATGTATATATATATGTTTTAGTATTTTTATGGTATTATGAGTATTATTTAATGTTTTGGATTTGCATTTTCGGATATAATTACGGGGTTTAAGTAAAATTTTAGGTTTTTTAAAATATAATTCGAATATTCAGATAAAGTTTTGGATATTTTTATGTCTTCGGGTCAGGTTTTGGGTAAAATTTCGAATATTTTTTGGGTATTTAAACATATTCCGGTATTTTTTGGGGCATACCCGGTAGAACCCGGACCGTACCCGACCCGAAACCGAACCGAATCCGAACCGATAAATTCTAATTATCCCGTTGGGTCCAACTATATATGACCCGAACCGACCCGGACCCAGTAGGACCCGAACTGAACCCGAAACGACAAAATCTAATTACCCTATTGGATCTAAATATCTAAGACCCGAAGGACCAGGACCCGACATGATCCGATCCGAACAAGAAAATGCCCAGGCCTACTACCGTAGATCCCATGGATCTCTAGAGCCACCTCAATCGAATCCTCAGAAATATTAAAGACTGTGATTGTTCTAAAAAGTCTTATTTCCTATTGGTTGTCAATATAGTTGGCGAAATTAATTAAAAATATTTTAAATAGAATAATGGCATGGATCTGTAATTTTCTCAAAAAGCAAGAGCAGTTAATAGTATAGATCAGAAGATAAATCACAGAGAAAGTAGATTTGTCGGTTCCAGCGTACGGCTGGCGCGTGAGCGAATGTGCCGTCGTCGGAACTGTGTTCATTCTGTTTAAAAGTTTCTATTTCCGTCTACATCGTACTTCCCCCCACCATTACTTTGTCTGAGCTCTGGCTCCGGTCTGTATTCATGGTGCAAGACAGCTTGGTGTCTCTGGAGTGAAGACGCGGTAGTGAGAGGGTCTCTGCGGTGGATAGGTGGTTTGTCAATTCAAGATTCGTTTCCGGGAGGGGGAGTTTTCCACAATTCCATCGCCGGTTTTTTACTCTGGGAGGTGGAGGCTCCTTTAGCTCTGTTGTCGCCGGTTCTGTTTTCGGAAGGGGGAGGCTTACAGAGCTCCGTCATCGCCCTCTAGTTTTCGGAGGGTGGAATCTACCATAGATCTGCGCTGCCGGCTTGGAACTCGTAGGAAGTCTTGGGTGTTAGTGGTGAAGGGTGTTTGGATTGTCGTTCTTGTCGGTTCGGGTGGGCAAGGGTTAGACCGGATGAGGTATCAGCAGATGATAAAGCTCTCCAATGATGTTTCCGCTGATAAGAGAAGTTAGTTAAGGTTAAGATGTTGGAATTTATTCCCGAGGAAGTGATATGGTGATCCTTAAGAGTTCTCGGTATGTCCGATTGACGATCTCGACAGAGGACCACTGATGATAAAGGTAGATGATGTGCTTGCTTTCGTTAAGGTGCCGCTCTGAATCCGGGTAATCCATCGAGTGGAGGCAGAGGGAGACAGAAGCAAGGGTGAATCGCGGGGATAGAATTTTCACAAGTCAGTGGGTTCGATTTGGGCCTTAAGCCCAATTTTGTTTTAGTATTTAAAGTTTAGTTCAGATTGGGCTTAGGCCTTTGTTTGTCAGCCTTGGGCTTTTGTAATATCTTGGGCTTTGATATTTTTACTTAATATAAATATTGACGGAAAAACGAATAGTAGTATAGATATAAAGAAAAAAAAGTTAATGAGGGCTTGCGCAGAGGTAGAGATGGCAATTGGGCTCTCCCGTCCCATCCGTCCCGAACCGATGCGGGTTCATCTTCTAGCGGGACGCAGCGAGCTTGTCCCGCGCGGGATGCGCTCTTTAAAACAGCGGCCCAATCCTGTACCGTATTTTTTGTAGGCCTTTGAGGACCGTCCTGCAGGACATGTGAAATATGTGACGCTGAACGATTCAGACCCCTCCGAAATGTTTTAGGCCATTCTAGGACGTAGTTCAAGTCGTCGATTCAACTGAACATAATTCATCAATCATTGATTTGCTTAATTTTTTATTCAAAACAATAATTGTAATTATTTGTATCACAGCCAAAACATATTAACATACGTACAAAGTAAAAATAATTACTGAAAATATTTTTCATTATCTTATAACTCATAAGTTCATAGCCAATGTTTTAGTTTGTTGAATCCAAAAATTAAATAAAATGAAACACTAAATCAAAAATGTCAATCTCAAATTAAATAAAAAAGAAACCAAATCAAAACACTACTAGAGCTCGAATCGTCATCGCTGGAGTTGTAGTCGTTGTCACCGGAGCTCGAATCATTATCACCGAAGCTCAAATCATCATCATCGCCCAAACTCATTATGTTTTCTCAAGAGAAGTCACATGAATCGTCTTTTTCTCATCCATTCTCTCGTTTTTTTCCAGGTAAAACAAAAAATAAAGAAAAAAAATGTGGATCCTTGTAATCCCGTGGGACCCATTTCGGCCCATCCCACAAAAGACCCAGTCCCGCAAAGATCCATCCCCCAAGGCCCGCAAATTTGCAGACCTAGAAAACCTCGTCCCAATACCGTCCCGTCCCGTGACAATTATTTACGGACTAGGCTCGCGGTCCAGATCCATAATTGCCATCACTACGCAGAGGTACACATCATTCTTAAAATATAGAGCATGACATTGGCAACAAAATAAAATACGGTTAAGATAAAATGGGTTACAAATCTCACCACACATCCAAATCCATCTTTATGATCTTACAAACCACTACAAAACACAATCATCATCAGACCCCCAACAAAACAATTTCAAATTGAAAACAACAAAAAAAAAAACTCAAATTCAGAAAACAAAAACTAATGAACAAAGCTTATAGCTCTGACTTACAGATAGGATAGAACATCTTCAAGACACTTGTTGTGACCGTCTTTGTCCTCCTCTTGCCACAGCCATTTTAGACAAAACCTCTTCAAGATACTCACACCTGTCTCTATGGTGTTCGGTCCATACACATAACTGTCTTATCGCCTCTCTCTTCTCTTCTCCTAACCCCAACAATGCCTCTTTCAATTTCCCCTTCTCTCTTTCCTCTTCTCTTACTCGACCTTCAAGCTTCTTCTCCATCTCTTCTCTACCCTTCTCCATCTCTTCCTTCTCCTTCTTCATCTCTACCACACATTCCTTCGCCTTCAAAAGCATCTTCGTCGCTTCAACCACCGTCACCTCAAAGCTTCCGTGCCTCACCTCAACCTTTTCAGACAGAGTTTGGAACCGATCTAGTATTGTCAAATTCACTCTCTCTGACATCTCTTTAATCAAACCTCTATATGTTTGGTGGAGCAATGCTTGTTTCTCTAAATACTTAGCTTCTACGCTCTTCAACTCTTCTTCTCTCTCCCTCAACACTTGTTCCGTTACTCTCAGTTTCTGATTCGACAAGCGTAGTTTAACCTCAATGTTATTCATCTTCTCCATCACATTCTCAACCTCTTCTCCTTTCATCTCCACTTGGTTACGTAGCCTCTCCACCGTATCTTGAAGCTCTTCGATCTCCGATTCCCTCGATGTTACATCTTTACCCGTCTCTTGCATTCTCCTCTCTGTCTCCTCCAGCTTCGACATGTACTCTTCCAACATCTCCCTGGCTTGTTTGTAGTCTCCCGTCAGCTTCTTGATCGTTGCTTCACGTTCTTGGAACAGAGCGTTGACCTGTCTGTGTTCTTGGCTTAGCGTGTTGTACGCACCTTCTTGCTCTAGTAACGCGTTCTGCACAGCGTTTAGCTGGTTCAGTAAGGAAGCTTTCTCTTGCTTCTCTCTCTCGAGCTCTGCTTCTGTTTGCGCCTGTAGACGGTTGTTATCTGTAACTTCTTGAGATTTCTTCTCGAGATCTGCTTCTAATCCATCTCTCTCTTTCTTCACATCTTCTAGCTTCTGATTCAGAGCGGATTCGGCGTCGCCAGCAGCTTCTAGTTTCTGGTTTAGCTCTTTGTTCGCAGTAGCTAACCTCTCGGTTTCAAGTCTCAAATCTCCAATGATGTCTTCTGATTCCTTAAGCTTCTTCAAAGTCTCTTGGTGCTCTGATTCTACAGCTTCTTTTTCTTCAACAGTTGTTTCTAGCTTTCTTTTTAGATCAGCAATTTCAAGATTGGCTGCTTCCATCTGTTTCATGTTATTCTCAGCATGACCGTTTCTCTTGCTCTTCTTATCAGAGTCAGAGTCTGAACTTGATGAAGAAGAGCTCTCGTTATCTCCTTTACCATGAACTTTTTTCCTGATCTCTCCCGTGAGATCATCGTATTGACGATACAAGGACTCATAATCTTTGTAAAATTCTTTTACCAACTCTGCAACCACTTCTCTTTTGGATTCATCTTCCTCAATATCACCACTCTCAACAATTCCCAAGATTCTCTTCACTTTTCCATCTATTTCTGCATTGTTGAGATTTAAAGTGTTGTTTCCATGTTAAAGAAGTCTAACAACCAAAAAGACCTATGTATTTGAGACAAAACAAGTGTATGTAGAAGAAAATTTACCAGTTTTGGTTCCTTTGAGCAATTCAGCACTGTCAGGATGAAGATGAGGCTCAAAGAAAGATTTCAAGGAGTCTCTGATGCTATGCTTTCTCATTTTGTTTTTGTTCTTCAGTTTCTCCAATCAATCAAAATGGCACTTTAACAGAAGTTTGAGATTTAGAACTGAAAAGTCATCTCCGAGACATGTGGCACTCCACCAAGCACGATCTCTGTTTAACAGAATTTCACAAAAGTAAGAGACATGTGAGAAGAGGAACTCTTTAACTAGTTCAAAACAGATGGAACCATCATTTTCAAACTTAGTAAAATTATTATTATTTTGGCCTGATGGTCAACTGGATGGTAACAGAAAATGAAATAAACAAGTTAGATGACTCGGGTGGAGCCTTATATGACAAAAACAAAATCGAGACTAGGATATTTTAAAATTTTAATGAATAATATCTTATGCCACAAAAGTGTGATTCATTTAAAAAAAAAGATGGATGAAATGCTCCTCTAGTAACAAAATGGCAAGAATCATGTTTTGAGATACAAGAAACTAAAAAAAGCAACATATCCTAGAAAATCCAAGTAGATACTCTTAATCCACCGCCAATAAAACAATACAAGAAATTACTAAAAAAAAAAGAAGAAAAAAAAAAGAAAGAAATTACTATATCGCACAAGAATAGAAGGAGATCTGTGATATGTTGTTATGACTGATTAAAACTTGAATATCCCAGAACTACTAATCAACTTTAGCAATGTGTCAAATTTTAGATGAAAAGATCAAAAGTTGGCACTCTCTTTTTAGACAATTATCTTAATATACAAATAATAATTAGCTTTTTCTACTAATTGCAGTACTGATACTCAATTATATAAAAATGATGAAGTTCTAGAGTTAGAACATCTCAAATTCCACTTATTTTTTAACTACAAACTCCATTTTAAAGTAAAATATACATCATTTCTACTCCATTTCAAACTCTTTAAAAAAATGGGATAATTATAAAAAAAAAATGTATTCATTACACCATATTTATTCATTATTCTAATTCTAAAATAGAGTTTGGTGGAAGTAAAATTCATCTATATTTAGAATCATTGTAAAGTAGGAAACTAGAATAATATAGTACAGTTACAAAAAAAAAAAGAGAATAATATAGTACACTAGAGAAGATTTCATACTAGCTAACTGAATGCAGAAAAAGTAATGGGTAGAGAAAGTGGAGCCACCAGAGAAACTTTTGGGGAATGGGAACCAGACAGCAACGCAGAATGATTAAAAAGACAGCTATGAGTTGTTTTTTTTTTTTTTTATGTTTGTTTCTTATTCAAACAAATAATAGAGTCTAGAGACTTGAGTTGAGATAGGCAACAGAAGAAAATAGCATTTTTTTAAACGAAAATTCCGAGTGCATGGATTACAGATCTATCATTAATCCACCGAAAAAATAGATCTTATTTATTTAAGGATAGCCAAAAAATCACCAAAACTGAAACATCATAGAGAACACAATCTGATTAAGCATATATAAACTCACTAACAATAAAGATGGAAAAATCAAATAGTTACTTATTTTTTGAATGAAAATCAAACAGTTACTTAGTTGTGTTCATAATCAGAAACTCTAATAGAGTTTAGGCGTTACTAGCCAATACCGATCTAATTAAAAAAAAAAGTAGCTACGTATGGCGTAATGAAAATCATCGCTCGTGATCGGAGATATTTACCTGGACAGAAAGAAGGTAGACTCGGTGGTGAAGTCGGTGGAAGAGAAAGAAGATGTGTGTCCTAGAAAGATTTATTTATGCGAGAGAAAATTAAATTAAATTCAAAGCGACAGATACCAGAATAAGAAGAAGAATAGAAAGAATAGGAAAAAAAAAAAAAGAATAGAAAGAAAAGTGGTTCAGGTTTTGACTTCGGACTTATCAAAGCTACCCTGTGTGTGCTGTGATATGTCCGTGACCGATATTTCTCATTTCCCACAAATACCCCTCCGCTTAACTCTTTATTACCGTGTTTTTGTTCTCCATTGATTGACTCTTTTTCTCGCCAGCGCAGCGTCTCCGCTTCACAGCTGGCATTCTCCTTAATTCTCGTCATGACATTACAAAACCATAGAAACATTTCCACTGAAAATATTTATTAAATTAAAAAAAATATTAGTAGGCATAAAACACACATTAAAATTATCTTTCAAAAAGTATATGATAAATAAAACTAACCACTATAACACTTTTTTTTTTTTGATCAACCACCACTATAACACTAAAAATAGCTTCTATTCTATTTCGTTCAAGCTAACTTTTTCAATTAAAGAAAGCAACACCAATGAGGATAACAGAAACTTTTCTCATCTTTGCTATCTCCTTTTTTATTTTTTGAAAAGGCTTTATTTTTGCTATGTATTTTTGCTATGTCTTATTATGTTTCGTTTATTTCACTGATGCTTTGCTCATGTTATTTTCTCGGTCTGATTCAACCATGAGTTTCTTGTAATCTCGGTTCGATTCAACCATGAGTTTCTTGTAATGTGCATAAATTATTTACTTTGTTGATGCTATGCGTTTTATAAAAATATCTGAAGGTTTGCATAAAAGTAGAAAGCAAGATTTATGAATTCAGAGTTCAGACTCCCGTTGGCTGTAGTTTTAGCTGTATATTTCGTAGACTCCTTTCATGTATTTGAACCTTTTATAAACCTTAATTATAAAATGTTTACAGTATGGTCAAACAAGGTATCCATATAAACGTTTTACATAACTGTCAAACACATTAGATCCGCGATCTTACAATAAACATTTCATATTTTGCAAGATGGGTAGATGACTCTAGCGTAAATAGATACAACAAATAAAACTTACAAAACAAATTTTGTGAAAATAAAGACAAAGTGAACTCAAAAGAGTTAAAGTAGTTTTGTAGCACTAGGTCGTAGGATAAACCCTAAAGGCTGATTTCTTGAGTTCATCGTATCGATCTCTTTGATAATCCACAAGAACACAGAGTTGTCTTATGGCTTCTCTCTTCTCTTCCCCTAAGCTCAACAATTCAACTTCTCTTCCCTTCACATTGATCTCAAGCTCTTTGATTTTCGCTTCAAATTTGGTCACAACCTTTGATAGACTCAGTTTCTCTTTACCTTCTTCCGCAAGTTTCTTCTCTAGCTTAGATAACTTCTCCTTCAACAATGTCTCTTGAGCATCTCCACATTCTAACTTCGCAGCTAGAGTCTCTAACTCGCTCTTCTTCTCACACACCCAAATCTTCGCTGAATCAATCTCTCCTGCTAACCTAGCAACTCTGTCCGTGTGCTCCTCTGCTTCCTCCAGCTTCTTGGTCGATCTTGCGTACCCAAACTCCCAAGTGTCTTTGATTTTTTTGAAATGGGTTTGGTAAAAGAGCAAACTCTCTCTTGTTTCTTTGTTTTCTTGAATTATGTCTCGTATTTTGATGTATTCGTTCTTGCTCTCCAAGTGTATTTGTTCAGCTACATGGATCCTCCTGTACAGTATCCTGATATGGTCTTCTATCTTCATCCGGAAATCTTCAGCTATTTCTTCCATTTTCTTCTCTATGGCATTTGGATTCAGCTTCGAGTCTCGGTTTGAAGAACCAAGTGACCAACGTTTTGATTGCTTCAGATCTTCAGAGAACTTGTCAATGGTCTCTTTCTGTTCTTTCACAAGTCTTTCCTGTTCCTTGATTTTCGCCGATAGCCTGCCATATAAACGGGTAATTCTAATTTTACCGCCAATTTGATACTACTTTTCAAGTTATATCTTAAAATGATAAACTACTTTTGTAAATCTAAAAGAGTCATTCTCTCAAATAGATAATTTTAAATTTTTATCACAAAATATATTTCAAAAACTAAAATGACCAACATAACAGTTTTTTTTTTTTGAATTTCTTTTTTTTTTTAATTTTTTAAAATTCGAAATCATATCCTCAAAACCTCTACTCCTCAACTCTAAACAAAAATGTGGATTAGTTAATCCAAATGATATAAATGTATATTAATTTATTTTTGTAAAAAATTTAAATATATTTTGATCATTTTTATTCTTAAAGTCTATATTTGTGATAAAAACTTTTTTATGTTTATCTTAGAGAATTTCTCAATCCAAAATGTTTATGTTTGTTTTACCTGTGAATAACATCATCCTGTTTCTTGACAAGTTTCTTCTGATGAGAGAGTTCATCTTCCAGTTTCTTGCTCTTTTCTTCAATTTCATCAGTATTGTTGATCACTTTCTCCATCTTTGTTGAATCAACTTCTGTGATTCTTGAATGCAGCTTCTTATTTTCTTCTCCAAGGTTGTCAATCTCTTCATTCAACTTATTCATCTTTTCATCTTGTTTCTTGGCAAGTTTCTTCTGATGAGAAAGTTCATCTTCCAGTTTCTTGCTATTATCTTCATTTGCATCAGTGTTCTTGATCTCCTTCTCCATCTGTGATGATTCAAGTTCTGTAATTCTTGAATGCAGCTTCTTATTTTCTTCTCTAAAATGGTCAATCTCTTCATTCAACTTATTCATCTTTTCATCTTGTTTCTGAACAAGTTTCTTCTGATGAGAAAGTTCATCTTCCAGTTTCTTCCTCTTATCTTCATTTTCATCAGTGTTCTTGATCTCTTTCTCCATCTGTGATGATTCAAGTTCTGTAATTGTTGAATGTAGCTTCTTCTTTTCTTCTCTAAGATGGTCAATCTCTTCTTTCAACTTATTCATCTTTTCATCTTGTTTCTTCTGATGAGAAAGTTCATCTTCCAGTTTCTTGCTCTTCTCTTCAACTTCATCAGCATTCTTGATCTCTCTCTGCATCTGTGATGATTCAAGTTCAGTGATTCTTGAATGCAGCTTCTGATTTTCTTCTCTAAGACGGTCAATCTCTTCATTTAACTTATTCCTCTCTTCATCTGTTTCTTGTTTCACACGCTTCACTTGTATCTCTCTCTCTGTAACTTGTTGGCCTTTCTGGTTCCGCAATGATTCAAGCTCATGTTTCAAACTATTTACCTGATCCATCAACCCGTTTACACGTTCTTTGTCCTCAACTCTCTTAACTTGAAAACTTGCAGCCTGTTCCGCGTTCCTCGCACGGAGAAAACCAATCTCCTGCTCTAAGTTTCTCAACTGACACTTCAAATCTTCAATCCTCAATGTTAAACCTAACTCACTCTTCCCAAACTTGTTCACAAGTGTCGATATCTCATCTCCCGTTTCTTTCAAAACAAGTTTCAGACCGGAGATTTGAGACCTAAGCCCTTGGTTCTTCTCTCCTAGCTTCTTACTTTCGCTAGCTTTCATCTCAATCTCTTTTTCCAAATCTCCCTTACGACGATCACACTCAGCTTTAGCCTCTCCTAGCTCTCGTTCTAGCTCCTTCACACGTAAAGTCAGTGCATGTTCTTTCTCTTCTGCCTCGTTCCTCAATGCTTCAAGCTTGCTTCCTTGCTCCACAAGATTCACTATATCCTCCGTTGAAGTAACACGCGACTGCACTCTACTTCTGCCACCGCTTCTTGTCGGATCCAAATCTTGTTGAAAATCATCGATGGAAGAATAGAGAGATTGACAATGCTCTTGAAGATCTGTAGCAATGGCTAGAAGCTCTCTCTTTGAGTCTCTTGGGATCTTGTTTTTGTTTTGGAGGAATTTTAAAAGTCTTGACACTTTCTTCTCCACTTCTGCAGGGACAACAAGAGAACTAACGAAACCCTTACATAAACAATTTTCAAAGAACTAAAAACAACATTTTCCTTGAGCATTTTATTCAAACAAATCTTACCTGTTTTTGCTTGCTCCATTTCCAACAAATTTGAAATAAATTCTCAGGATGCTTGTTCTTGTCTCTGCATTTGAAAGTGCAATAAAGATTATCGATCCAAACGAAAACCAGAAGGAAGAAGAAAAAAAGTTCCTACAAAATCACAAAGAAGAAAACATTTTTTTCAAACGTATGCATTGCTTTGAGCAATAACGTGTTGATCAAGTTTTGTCTTAATGTAATACTCGTTTTGAATTACTTTTTCCTCCAGAACATGCATGAATAAAGAAGAAATACATACACTACACTCGTTAATTAAGCCGGAATTGTAAAGCAGATTTGGTAAAATGATTTCGCGTTTTCTCAAATATATAAGGATCAAATCACAATGCATGAAGAGACCACTTTTCTTTTTCTAAGGACGTAGATTTAAGTTACGGAAAATAGAACAAGCTGTGGATTCCACATACCTACGTAACGCCACTTTATCTAATATTCTTTGGTCAAAACAATCGAATTTCTCAGCAAAATCAAAATCTCTAATACATTGACATTTTGACTTCTCTAGAAAAGGGGTTATTAGAATTACCAGGTAAATCTGAATTCAAATGGTCCTTTCTCCGCAGTCCTCGGAGAAATCTGATTTCTTTGAATTAGGAAGAGAGAATATTAGCAAAAAGAAAGATAAATATCAGGGGCCGGTGGTGATCAGAAGAAAAAGGGAAAGAAACGAAGAAGTTCAATTGAATGGCTTATTTTTGACACTATATTTACATAAATAAAAGCCTTTGTTATTTTTGTAAGAACTACCCGGTTTCATCCATCTATTAAGAAGGCACAATTAGCTCAAAG